ATATTATAATATAAGGTAAGTAGTATACTATTTCAATATGTCACCAATATTTTAATAGATTCTATTAAAAAATATTGAAGGACGTTCATTATATCTTACTTTTCTGAATATTTACCTGAATACACCGAAATTCGAACAACTCCATACGACAGCATAAGTTGCATAGTCGGTATCGAGAATCCAATAAGGTGCATCTATCGGAAGAGGCATACTCGGGAACGAAACACTCAATTTTGCTTCTTCCACTTTAAGAACAGGTTTCCCAACACCTTCGATACTTGAAGAAACTCCAGTTCTAAATAAATAATAAAAATATGAGTTTCCCAGAAGTTAAATTGATCAACTCCACTTTTCAAAAATTCTCTCTGTACACGAATAACATAAACAATAGAACACGATTAATATTTAACTTTGAAGAAAATTAATATTTAATTTTCAAAGAAATTACTATACTCCTATGTTTATTGCAAAAAGATTACAAGATAAGTAATAATACATTCTAAAGTGAATTTAAAAAAAAACATCATTTTTCTCTGCTTAACAATTTCTGGGGTTAGTCATTCTGACTTTTGAACGACTCATTTAATTTTATGGAATTGTTTCATTATTAATTATGTAATGCTTATATTTTAATAATTATTTCTATTTATACTACGGTTAATATAAATGCATAGGATAAATAAAACCTATATCTAGGAATAAAGAAATGAAATGAAATGAAAAAATTAATTATATGATTAGAAAATTATGAAAACATGTTGATTCCATAATTATAATGCATGTTTTTTATATGTTTATGTTTAGAAACATGCAAAAATGTTTCGTACTTACTTCTGTTCTGAAATTTGGGACATTCTATTTTTTTTTAGATAAAAAATGAATTTTTTCATACTGAGAGATATGAATACTGTAATTATAAGTTTAATTTCTAAATATGATTATAAATTTCATTTTCAAATATAATTACATTTCAAATATAAATATTTCATAATATGAATTTCGTAACGTAAAATAACTTATAAATTATTCATTACAGAAAGAAATGTTTTAACGAGAGTTACATGGTTTCCAAGTGCTGTAATTGTTTTGTTGGTATTTTGCTTTCTTATCAAGATATGAAGATCGTCTTCAATTTTTTAAAATGGAATTATATATATTTTATTATCCATTAATCAACTCGACATTTTCTTCTTATTAAAAAGTATTAATCTATATATATATTGAAAAATTATCAGGAGATACTTATTTTAATTTTGTAACACTTGTTCACATTGTTCTTATCTTTCATGCAATAAATTTCATAAAATTAAAGTTAAAATATCTACAAAACCAACAACTTTTAATTTTTAATTTAATATTTTTAATTAACATAGATTAATATTTCAAATATTAAACTCTATTATCATTTTTATTATTATATTAATAAATATAAATAATATTGAACATTTATTTTGCACTTTTATATTTTA